ATAAATCACATTCATAACGATTTTCTTTTCCTTTTTTGTTAAGTGGAGAATTTAAAGATGCTTGTGAGGCAATCCAAGTGAAAGATGCTTGTACGTTTTTATGAGTTTTTTCCTGATTTGTTTATGGTTGTTTCAGCTACACGTACATCAACTACAGTGCTCTTCAGTAAATTGCCTTCATCAAGACTTTGAAAAAAATTCAATTCGACTTTCGTAAAGGCAACAACTATCTTTCTGTACCTATATTTTATTGGTTTATGGATTATTTAATTAAATTGCAGGTTACAGGAACAAGTACAACTGATATAAATGGGTTGGGGAGCAACCACTAATACACTGTTAGTGAACACGTGATTCCACTGATGGAGGCTGCTAGAGATTTTTCCATAGTCTTGGAAATTTGTAGTTCTGTGGCCATTGATCAGCAGTTTTTTAATAGAGGGAAATGGGGGGATGGTTAAGTGGGTCAGTTAAAAGAGATTCTGAAATAAAGCAATGAGGGTAGATAGGAGGGGATGAGTATGCAAGAGGTAAAACCCAAGAAATGATGACTGTTTGGATGTAGTCATGAGAAAAAAAAGGCTGGGATTGCCGCGAGCCATGCTACCGATGGCTATACAGCCGTCTGACAGGGTCCAGGCTGAGAAGGGCCGAGGGGCGCAGGGACGCTCCTCGGTGAAGAATGGCCGGCCGACACCCCTGATATTTTCTGAAATGTATGCGTGCTTTCTATCAAGGTTATGACTATACTTGTTTCTGCTTTTTATTCTTAAAGATACACAGTTTAGCTTAGCTTTTCAGCCCTTTACCTTACTAGCAAAATGATATTTTCTCTGGGCAGTGTGCTCAAGGGACAATTAGCCCTACCTGCTAAAAGACAAAGGAATGCTGTCACCTCCTAAGGGGCGCGGGAATGTAAAGATGTTTAACTACCTGCTGAGAACGCAAATAGTCCTGGGGATAAGATACCCTGGAGTTGCCTTTTGTTCCCATTAACCATCTACACTAATGGCGTAAATGATTGAGGGAGGCAGGAGTGGCTCCCCCAGGATGTAAACAGATGGAACGCTGTCCTGTCCGGAGGTCTGGACCTTCTCTCTTTGATTTAACTTTACCATGAATTACAACAGATGTCAAGGTACCTATCTCTTTTAGCTTAGAGACAACAAACAATAGTTAATTGCGGAGAAGACAATCATTAACCTTATGGAATGCTAATAAATATTCTTGTGCTCGTTTTTTACTTCCTTATCTCTCTGAGAATATTTGTAGAGCTATTTCTGTACTAATCCTGAAAAATATAAAAACGACACTTGTGCACAGTAAAAACGGACTTGATTACACCAAACCAAGTCTCACGTCTCTTCCTTCACTGCGCCGACTCCATCCCTCCCTCAGGAACCTGGACTCAGCCGGAGCAGGACTCCGGCATGGGATTATCCCCAGGTTCCTGGTTTGGACAGTTGGGTGGATGGTGGTGCAATTCACTGAAATTGAGAGTGAAACAAGAAGATCAGCTTCTGAGAGAAAGATGGAGAGTCTGGTTTAAAACATGTTGTATTTAAGGTATATGTTCTTATGTGTATTTGCTCCTTAATTTTGCAGCATTCATTCCCCACACCTGATCCACTCTCCCCAACTCTTGGTTCTCATCATTTGGGTAGGAGTCCACCCAGTTCTAAGAGTCAGGGACACAACGGAGGCCTGCCTGCGTTAATTAGTGCACTGCATACCTTTGGGCTCAGTGATTGGCTAGGGGTGGTCACATGATCTAAACTGGTCCAAACAGTAGGAACCTCAGTACTTTTGTTGAGAATTCTGGGACAAAGGCAGTTGTTTACCCACTCCCAGCGGATTCTCATGTGAGAGGTTGTAGCCCTAGAAATGCTGATAACCATCTCCAGACTACAGGGAGGGGACCAGAGAATGGAGCCAACATGGAAGAAGCAGAGCTAAGGAATTTAGAGAAAGACACCAGCTCCTGGAGCTGTGCTAAAGCTGTCCCTTGACTGTTCCGTTACATGAGTCAGTAAATTCCTGCCTTGCTTATAACAATTTAAATGGAATTTTCTATCACCTTCAACAAGAAGAATTCTAGCTGTGGGACATCCAGGTAGAGATGTTAGGGTAAATAGATGAGTTGAGAATTCTAGAGAGAGATTTGGGCTGGGGATATAGAAATGTAAGTCATTAGCATGTAGATCAAAGCCCTAAGTCTGGAGAGGGTTACCCAGAGAAAATGCATGGTGTACAGCCAGCCAGTTAGTGTAAGTGCTGTGAAGGGGGAGGGATGGGTTATGATAGCACATGGGAAGGATGCCTCATCCCCACTAAGGGGTTTAACAAGGATTCCTGGAGAGAAAACCATCTAGGCTGAGATGGGAAGGGTAAGTGGGAATGTACATGTGGATTGGTGGTGGGGGTGGGAGAGTGCTCCAGGCAGAGCTCAGGCCGGGAGGTGAGAGAACTAAACAAGCTGAGTAGGGCTGGAATTCAGAGCGTGCATGTGTGAGGGCAAGGGCAGAGAGGGGGAGTCAGATGAGGCAGTAAGCAAAGTGAGGGTGCATGGTGCCTGGCCTTACAATGCCAAAGAGCATTGGGGAGCCCATGGAAGGGCTTTTAGCTGGAAAGCTACCAGATCAGAGGCTTCAGGAAAGAGAAAGGACTGGAGAGGGGCAACGCCAGAGGAGCGGGGCTGGTTAGGAAGCTGCTGAAGCATTCAGATGAGAGGTGGTGGTGGCTTGGGTCCGGGGAAGGCTGAGGATGGATTCAAGGGATATTTGGGTGGTGAATCAGGTGAACTTGGGGATTTGAATGGATGTGAGGAGTGAGAGAAAAGGAGTCAAAGCTGACTTCCATGTTTCCGGGCGGGGCAACTAGATGGATGGAGGTGCCATTTCCTGAGATGTAGAACAGTGGAGGAGGAACAGGCTGCGGGGTTGGAAGTGGTAAGTCCAGTTTGGGACATGACGAACCTGAGAATGCAAGCTTCTTGAGGACCAGAATCTTCTTTGCCTTATTCACTCACCTATGCCTGATACACAGAACAGTGTCTTTCACATTATAAGTAAATATTTGTTCAATACATGAATACATGAAAGATACTTGTATTTTTTTCTTTTTTTAAGGAAGGCTTTTCCTTTTTTTTTTTTCTGCTTTATCTCCCCAAATCCCCCTGGTACATAGTTGTATATCTTAGTTGCAGGTCCTTCTAGTTGTGGTTGCCTATATTTTTTTATGTGGAAAAGTTGAGGAGGCAGCTTTGAAGCTCAGGAGCGAGAACTGGGTTGAGGAGACAGATGGGAGTGGTCGCTGGCCTCTAGTAGTAAATAAAGACACGGGAGTGGATGAGATCCACCGGGAGAGTATGAGGAATGAGGAGCCTTTGCGGACTGGAAGAGCATCAGCTTTGCAGGGTAGTGATTGATGTGGATCACGAGCCCTGCCTGCTCAACTGTGCTTTTCTGTCCCTCTGTCGGCTCTGCTGCCTCCTCCCCTACCTCTTTAGGATCTTATTCCTTCTCCTTTGCTGAGTCCTCTTCCTCTTGCTGCCCCCTCTCCCCAGTGGAGGGCACACCCTCAGGCCCTCCTCTCTCTCTCTGCTTCTCAAGCTAGGTCTTCTCTCCAGACCTCAATTGCAGATGTCCACTGGGCATTGCCAACTGGACCTCCTAATGGCACCTGAAATACAACACACCCTCACTGAGCTCATCACCTCCTCCCCAAACCAGTGCCTCCTCCTGATGTCTCCCTCTCTCCATCACTCACCTTGCATATAGGAGGCACTGCATAGAGTTGGTGATTTGAATCTTGAATTAGAAACTTGGTACTGATTAGATCTTACTTCTGATCAAAACTTGAGGGGGCCAAGCAAGAAAAGATTTTCCGGCTGGTTCCCTGAGCCTGGTGTCTTAAAGCCAGGGCCAGTGATTTCTTGGTAGAATAGCAAATGGGCCAGTAACCTTAGGGTGCCTGATGTCCTGATGTGCTTCCATCTCTTCCCTGGCTCAATGTTCTTTGGGATAATAACAGTTTTTAATAATTTTTAATTTTTATATAAGGTACACTTACCAAAGGATTAATATGGAGACTCTCACTGACCACAGATTCTACTCCCCCCGCCACCCCATGTTGCTGATGAATTAAGGAACTCATCCAAGAGCTAGCTTAACTCTACTTGAAAAATCTGGGAACTTGCTAGTTTAAGGTCCTGGCCTTCATTCTAGAATGTTAGAGCCAAAAACAAACAAAAAATGGCCCCAGTAGTGGTTTGATTTCATTCTGTAAATTTATGAAGGAAGAACTGTGATCCCGGAATCAGAGGTTCTCTGGAAACAATCGCTTTTCCTGTGTTGCTTAGGAATGAGTGCTCACTGCTAAAACATGCTCCTTTCTCTAACCTGTTGTCTTTACTCCTGGGTCAGCCTTCAGATCCTTTCTAGGCTCTTTCCCTCTTGCTTTATCAGAGAGCTTAGAAAATTAAAACTAATGTTGATACTAGCCCACAGCCAAACATGAAGACCTTGATAATACTAGCTTCCTTTCTATTCCTTCAACTTTCCACTCCTCACCTCAGGACCTTTGCCCCTGCTGTTCCTTCTCCTGAAATGCCCTCTTCAGTCTTTCCAAATGTTTGCTCCTTATCCTTCAGATCTCAGCACAAATGTCAGCTTTTCAGAACAGTGACCTTGCCTAGTCCCTGTCTGTAACATGCCACCTCATAATCTTTCATTCATAGGATCTATCACACTCTCATAGTCCTTTGTTTGTTTGTTTATTCATTCATTGTGTCCCCCCCACTAGACAGTAAGCTCAGGGAAGGCGGGACCTTGTCTGTCTTGCTGAATGTGTCCTCAGAGCCTGTGATGGTCATGATTGTGTATACACCCAAGATGCATTTTTAGTATACTATGCAGCTTCTGGTAACTACTTCTATCAATCTAATCTACATTCGTCCCACTCTTCTCCCTCCTTTGCACAGATTTACTGACTCTCCAGTGTGTGTTTTAAAAAACAATATTGTTTTATTAATAGTAGCAGGAGTGGCCAGCATGGGGTGGTGGGTGCCCTGGGCTCAGGGTATGTGTGGGCCGTGAAGAGTAGATGATGGTTGGGAGGCTGGAAGGAAAGGAAGTGGGTTTGGAGACCAGGCCCAAGGGCTTCTAAGATTTACTTCTGGGAATGAGCAGACTTGAGAAAGGACTCATGGCAAGCTATGGCCAGGCCCCCAATAAGGTTAAGAAATTCTTGGAAATCTAGCTGCCCATCAGCGTTGAGGTCCAGTTTCTTCATCATGCGGTCAAGGACACCAGGGTCCTTCTGGTTCTGCAAAGATAATAGTAACAATGATAATGTTAATAGTACCTTTATATTATGCTTTCTAAGATGCTTTCAAATATGTTGCCACATTTTATTCTCACAAGAGTATGAGGTTCAGGGTAGGGGTTATTAATATTCCTGGTTTCTAGACATAGAAACAGACTCAAAGACGTGAGATGACTTGCCTAAGGGGAAGACCTGGGCCTTGAACCCAGGTTTTCTGGCTCCTAGTCAGGGTTCTTTTTGTGACAATCGGGGGTTATTCAATTTTGTAAAAAGAGTGGAATACTTTTTTCAAGTGCTATGTGCAACTCCGATATACAAGCTATATCAAAGTGGAGAGATTTAAGGTGGAAAAAGGATGCAGGCCCTGTCTAATCAGCCTCACCCTCCCCATCCAAGCCCCCAACACACACACATTTATAGCCACTGCTTCCGTATGGCTGTTTAATTGATTAATTTAGAAAGTCAGTCCTTTAGATGCACACGTGGCTAGTGGCTACCATATCGGATAGTGCAGATAGAGAACATTATTCCCATCACTGCAGAAAGTTCTATTGGACAGGGCTGCCCTAGAGGCTTTGGGGTAGAGGAATAAAATTAGAAAATTCTTCTATTATGCCATTTACCATTTCATATGCCCCTTCCCTAAATGAAAAAAAAAAATCATTGTTCTCTATGACATGTAGTTTGATAACTTTGATCTTTAAAACACACCTTATTCAAAGAAAAGGCCTTTCATTAACGATTCAGAGCTTACTCTGAGGAGTAGGGGCTCAGCCTAGGCTATGTGGACCACCGTCTTGGAGTTGATGAAAAAGAGGCAGGAGTGTAGGGGTCAGCTGCTGGTCCTTCATTCCTAGCCATCTGCCAGGGTCTTGTTTCACACCATGGGTAGTCTGTGAATGGGGGCCAGGACCAGTACCTTTGTGAAGGCAGCCAGTTCTCTGTTCATGAAGGTTAGGAACTCGGTCTTGGAGAGTTTGCTGCTGTTCCCGTCCTTGCCAGCATATCTCTGGAAAACAGCAATCAGAGACTCGATGCACCGCTCAGTCTCTGTAGGGCTGGACATTTTTGCCTTTGGAAAAAAAAATTCAGGGCTCAGACAAGGGCAAGATATCAAGGGCTGAAAAAACTGCTGTTTTTAGAATGTGTGGGTAAATATAACTATACATCCACAAATCCATGTGCACACCAAGCATTGTCTATAGATTAAAACGTGTCCTATTTTCTAAGAGTATAGCGGCTTCTGTGATGAATGAAATGGCAGTTCTTTTTAAAGCAATACTGAATTCCTGGGACTCATGCATTTTCTAGAAGAAAACTAAAAGCATAGTTATTATTGTGTATGAGGTGGGAGACCTGAGGCTTTTTGCATATTCAAAAGCAGCTTTCATATTTGAAAGTTAGGGATCATTAATTTTACATGTGAGGTAACTGAGGCATGAGAAGGGAATTGACGTGGCAGAGCCACCCCTAGAATCTCGGCCTCGAGGTCCTTTTCTGGAGTCCTTAGCTTTTGCTCTTTCTACTTCCAAATGTCACTAATTCCCCAGGAATGGCTGGCGGAATTTTTCCGGTCACTTCAAACCAGGAAGGTTGCCACGGGGCTCTCAGGTTGCTGCTCACACAGCTCCCAGGGCATCTACCGAGCTGAACCACGACTGTGGTTGCACCAGGAGGAGCAGGAGATCCAAATCCTGTGCTGGGCTCTGCTTCCCTTACAACAGAATTCTTCAAGGAAATGCGGTGCTAGTGTCTACCGGTCTGTTCAGCAGGCCCCAGAAGCGAGGAATTGTTGGACGCCCCCTGGTGGATAAGAGCAGCAACTGCAGTCTTTCTGGAGAATTTGCAGGGCCACACCCTTCCTCTGAAACTTTATCTCCGGGCATTAGCAACGATCTATGTTTGGATAACGCCATTGCAATTTAGCATTTAGCCTTTAATTTGTTCTTGGGATGAACTTCCTGGAGCCCAGAGCTGGACGGAGGCTTTCCTGGCCCCATAATTTACGTGCTAAGGATTGATCTGAGCCCTGTTATTGACCTGAGCCCTTAGCTGCATAGCTGCTGGTCTCCTTCCTGTACCCCTTGCAGGAACTTTCCGTCTCTCCAGGTGCTTTACCAGGCTAGCCAAGGTGCCTGCTGCCCGTTGCATCTTGGAGTATCTATAAAGCCTCTTCCGGAGGTGGATCCTAAAGAACTCTTCCGGAGGTGAATTCTTTCCCAACAGTCACATTTTTGGAATTTCTTTTTGTCAAAGAGAATTTTTTCTTAAGGAAAGAAAAGTGTTGGTAGGTTCAGGGTTTGGGGGAGAAACAAAATGCCGTGGCCTAGAAACAGATGTGTTTGCACAACAGCTTTTCTTATCAGGACTAAAATCTCACTGTCTTACTAATGTCAGAAGAGAGAAAGAAAGTTGGCTGGGAGGGCAAGCCAGATAGGGTAGAAAGTTCCAGACTAAAGAGCAAGGGCTTTGTAACCTCTTTCTAGACCTACCGAAGTTTCCTCTGCCCCCTTTCCTTGCGGAATTCAGATTGGTTTGATGTTCCAGTTTCAAAGTGGATTTCTGCTTTACTTTTTTTTCCTCCTTGACTGTAATTTAGACTATTTCTTTCTCTTGAAAACTGTTGCTATCAGCCACATGGAGAGAATTAAAACCTCTGCATTTCTCCCCAGAGGTAATTTTCCAGAGCAAAAGAAAGGAACACAATTATCAAAGTACTTAAGTGGAATTGCAAAATTTGTAGAGCTGGAGGGGACTGTGGAGATGGTTCTGGAAGAGGGAGGCCCAGAGATGGGAGAGCTTTGCCCAAGGAGGAGCAGTGGCTGAAGGAGAGGAGAACCAGATCTCCTGTCCCCAGGCCAAGGTGTGGATGCAGACTGACACACTAGAGCGGGGGTTGGAAACATGTTTTGTAAAGGGCCAGATGGTAAATATTTTAGGCCACTGGGGTCCATCTGGTCTCCATCACTCTGCTTTTGTAGCAGGACGGCAACCACACAGACAACTCAGAAATGAATGGGCGTGGCCGTTTGCCAATAAAACTTCATTTATGAACGCTGAAGTTTGATTTTCATACACTTTTCACGTGTCCCAAAGTATTGTTCTTCCTTTGATTTTCTTTAAACAGTTTAAAAGTGTAAAATCCATTGGCAGCTTGTGGGCAGAACAGAAACTTCACTTGGGCCGCGGGCGGAAGTTTGCCGACTCCCTTCACTCAAGAGAGGCCAAGGAGGAGGCAGATTTCGGAGGCGGCTTAATGGAAAAGATAGGAAGATAATTCAGAGCGGGAATGGCAGGAGCTGAGAGGAGAGAAACAGGTGAGGCAGTGAGGGCCTGAAAAGATGGCGGGAGAAAAGGAAAAGGGATAGAGGGGGCTTAGCTGGAACCGGGCTCCTCCCACATTCTTGGCTGCGGTTCCGCTGGCTGGGACGGCTCGAGTTTCAGTCTCTGTGTCTTGGCCCTTTGCCAGTAGCTTACTGAAACTGATTTTCCCTAGGGCTCTGACGACCAAGTTCTGAAATGTGCCCTTTCTGGTCTATAGAAGTAACTAGTGCTGCCTCACAGAATTCCACCTCCCCACCCCCCAGTCTTTCCATGTCTCCCAGGCTTCCAGGGCACCAGTGGCGAGGGGCTGCCGGCAAGAGCAGGACCCCTCCGTGCGCCCTTCCCGGGGAGCCAGGGAGCAAGCAGGAGCGGCCTCCACCCGACGGGACTCCGCTGGGCACTTCCTCGGCCCCAGCCCCAGACCTTATCTTTGCAAGGAAAACAAAAGAACCTCCCGTGGCCACCCCCAGGCTGTTATTACAGATATAATTTTAGGGCTTCTTCCTTCCATCCTCTCTTCCCTAATTCCCTCCTACAAATTTCTTTTTCCTGCTGTTTCCTGCCACGTCCGCATATAAATCAAAGATCAAGCCTGGTGGAAAGTGTGCTGTTGCTTTTTGCTTTTCATTTAAGAGGAAGACGAATAAAAAGTCGGACTTACCGCTTCGGAGTGGAACGAGGCACCGAAGCTGTGACCGGGGAGCGGCGAGGCGAGCTCTGGGCTGGAGGCCAGGCTCCGGGTCCTCGCCTGTCCCCGCCTGTCCCCGCCCCGCCCCGCCCCGTGTGGCCCCCGCCTGACTCACGCCGCCCCCTCCTCCGCCCGCCCGCCCGCCCGCCCGCCTCTCCCGCGCAGATCCGGACTTGCCAGCCGTTCGCCTTTGTCAAACACGCAGCTGCACCTTAAAACTCCCATAAAACCCATTGTCCTCTCCGAACCCTAAAGGTCTCTCCTTGTCCTGTGAAGTTGGAAGATTTTCCACTTTTTTTAATTAAAAGTTTTGCAAGCTATTCTTGAAGTGATGTCGGTGGCTCTGTTCCATGGACGAGCTCATTCTGCTCACTCAAGTTAGAGCGGCAGGAAGTTCCCTTTTAAAAACGTGCACCATGGGCTGTGGGCCATAACGGCAGAGTAGAAGTTCCCGAGAAGCCAGGGCTGTCTATTCCTTCACGCTGAGGATAGTTAGACAGCGGTGATTTGTCCCAAGGGGAGCACCGTTGTCTCAAACTTCACTCTAAAACGGCAACAGTTAAAAAAACAAAACCGCAGACCCAAACCCCAAACTGATGCAATTAAAAATTGACCCTTGCGAGTAGGGCATTTATCTCTGTGCAGCTGGCCACCGAGTTGAGAGTTGTATTAAGAATCGGAAGCTCTGGGGGCCGGCCCCATGGCCCAGCGGTTAAGTTCGCGCGCTCCGCTTCAGCGCCTGGGGTTTCCCGCTTCCAATCCTGGGTGCGGACATGGCACTGCTCATCAAACCACGCTGAGGCAGCATCCCACAAGCCACAACTAGAAGGACCCACAACGAAGAACATACAACTATGTATCGGGGGGCTTTGGGGAGAAAAAGGAAAAATAAAATCTTAAAAAAGAAAAAAAGAATCAGAAGCTCTGGATTCTGGTCCTGGATATGTTATTCCATTGCAATACTTTTGGCAAAACCCCTCACTCCTCTCAGCCTCCATTTCCTTATCTGTAAAAGTAGGTGATGTTGCCTCTCCTACTTCTTAAGACTGTTATGACTGTCCAATAAAATGATGGCTCTGAGAGGGCTTCGAAAACTGTGGAGGAGATCTGAATGAAAGATAACGGGCTGCCTGGCGTTGGATAAATTGTATCCTGGCCTGGGCTCCGCTCTTGCAGCCTGAGCTGGTCCTTTCTGAGCAGATCTTCATCTCTACTCAGCTACTCCAGACTTGCATTTTCAGTTGTTCTTGGGTACACTTGAAAGTCCCGCCTGTACCTCAGGCTCAGTAATTCAAGAATTAGCTTGTTTTCCCTTAACCCGTTTCTCTCCCATCTTCCCCATCTCTGCTAACAGGACTGCCATTCTTCCCTTCCCCTGACCTGAGGACATCGGAGCTAGGTTTTCACTCTAGAGCCTTTTCTTTCCCCTAAACCTTAGCAAGTGCCAAGTGCTGTCAGTATTATTTTCACACTCTCTCTTGAATCTGTCTCTCGTGTCTTCCATTCCCACTTCCAGTGTTGTAATTTAGGTTTTCAGTCCCTGTTTCCTCCAGTTTCCTAACTGGTTTCTTGCCTGCCAATCTGTTCTATTGACTGTTACAAACACATTTTTCTAAGGTATATCTCTGATCAATTGCCTACTGAAAAACACAAGAAAACGGCTGACGCCCTTTATGTCCAATCCAAGCTTCTTAGCCTCTCTCTGGCTTTGAAAAACCTCTTTAACTTTAATGAATGAACGAATTCTTCAGTTTATTCATTCAACAAATATTTTTGGAAACCTACTATATGCCAAGACTAGTGCTAGGCACGAGAGATACAAACACGAATGTAGTATAGTGCCTGCCTTTGAGGTGGTCTATGGATAGACTTTAGACCTACAGTGGTTTGAGGGGCGTTCCATGGCTGGCTGCTGGGGTCCACAAAACCCTAAAGTCAGATGTGAAATTTTCTGCATAAGAGAACTTTTTTCTGGGGAAGGATCTACAGCTTTCATCTGATTCTCGGAAAAATCTATGATCAAAAAATGTTAAAGAATCATTAGTCTAAATTATTTCATACCTGAAGCATGGGATCTCCCACACATACCACAATCCTCTTTAAGGGAAAACACCTCACTTACAGCTTCTGCTTAAAAGCCAGCCCCATGGACGAAGTTTTGGATGACTTTACCCTGTGCCCACTGTCACAGCTGACTGGGTTGAGGTTAGCTCTGGACTCAAGGACTGTCAATCCATAGAATGGACAGTAGTGGGTGTTTCATGGCAGACATGGAAAGATGAGCTTGGGCCATTCAGCTTCTTGTTCTTGGGAAACTGAGATTAGAAATATATAGAGAATTAGGTATTTAGAAGAGCTGAAGCTGAACATTTTCATAGAGAGAATCATGAAGTCATGGAAAATCAAAATTACAAAGCAGCAGACACCAGGAATAAGTAGAAGCTATGAAGTTTGGAAAGAACGCACGGAGTAAAGGGGAAAAATTAACCAAGTGCTAATTGGAAATAAAAGAAGTAGCCACTTGGATATTAGTTGAGTTGTGTAAGTGATGAAGCACTGAGAGTGCAGAGCCTGCCGTCCAACTTTACGAGTATTCTTGTTCTTCCTGAATCTGGTTGTCTAGTTTTCCTGATTTTCTGTAGGACATTTATTCCTTCAATAACTCCTCTGGCCCATGAAGTAGCTTGAGTGGAGCCAAAGAAAAGAGCTAAATCAAATAAGTGTGAATTGTCCTGAACTGGGTAGGGAGATCAGCCCTTTCCAGTGAGGGCTGCCTGTGGTGGCAACTCCCCAGGGTCATGCCGAAAGGGGCTCGATACTAGTCTGCAGTCAAAGGAGGGAAAGTTCAGGAAAGGGAGCAGGCAAAGGCAGATTTAGCAAATAAGGTAAACAATGCTTCAAACAGAAGGCTAAAGCAGGCAAGGAGCTGAGGATGAGAGGGGGCTGGTAAATTGATAGCAAGAGACTAAAATAAGGCACAGATGAGTAAAAGGGCTATTCAGGAAATACATGTGAGGACTTCCACAGTGCCAGGTAGTTCTTATGTGCAACCTGAGCTCTGGGCAGCCTTGGGCAGCTTCTTAGGGGACACAATAGAATGTGACAAAGATAATAACAGGGATGTGACCAACGTACAATGACAATGCTGGGAAGGAAATGAGTAGTTTACTCTGGAGGAGCAGGCAGGGCATCATGGGGAAAGTGATACTTGAGTTGGGAATGGAAGGGTGAATAAGAATTCAGCAGCTGGATGGGCTGGATGGGCCCAGTGGTGAAGCTAGACAAAGTCAGGCAGTATAGCAGTGTTTATGGCAGCAGACTCTGGAGCTAGAGCATCCTCCCTGATACCTCTGTGGAGGCCATGAAGCAGGAGGTGAGGACATCTGTGACAGTGGTCATAGGACTTGAGGAGGTTCTCAATGGTCTCAGAGGGAAATGGGAAGAGGAGCTGACTCAGAATAGCTAAGTGGTGTAAGAGCTTAGGAAGCTATAATTTTGCAGTGACTCATCTCCACATGGTTGTGTGATTGTGTGGCCGTATGTTTTCTCCACCTGTGCCTAGAAGTTTAGTCATTGGATGCAAGAGAGAGGGTTCTGGAATAGATTTAGGGTTAGGGCTTCACAGGATGGGTGTAACAGAAGGATAAGGCAGTGAAGGAGTTGAGGATGTGGGTAAGAATGTAATCCACTAGGGGCTGGCCCAGTGGTACAGCTGTTAAGTGTGCACGTTCCGCTTTGGAAGCCTGGGGTTCATGGGTTCAGATCCTGGGTGCGGACATGGCACCACTTGGCAAACCATGCTGTGGTAGGTGTCCCACATAGAAAGTAGAGTAAGATGGGCACAGGTGTTAGCTCAGGGCCAGTCTTCCTCTGCAAAAAGAGGATTGGCAGCAGTTAGCTCAGGGTTAATCTTCTTCTTCTTCTTCTTCTTCTTCAAAAAAAAAGAATGTAATCCACTCGATTGGGCATTGAGTACAAGACAAAAAAGGAAGGAGCAAGGACATGGAAGGTGGGTGGGCACAAAGTCTCCATGAAATCAAAGAACAAGTTAAGTGGAAGAGAAGGATGGAGAGAGCTGGGGATGTAAGAAGTTATTGGTATAGTATAATCTTCCAGTGAGTTTAATATTTTGTAGATAGAACCCTTATGAATGATGGCAAAATCTAAACATGGTTATGGGCATTAAACTTGTTCCAGTTTAAGTGGAGTGGGCATGAAGGAGGTCAAGAAGTTATGGGGGCGGGTTGAGTGGGTCATCCACATCAATGCTGAGCTCATCCAGGGTGCTGAGAGGTGTTAGAGTGGAGTGCAAGAGTGTGAAGCAGTTTATAATGTTTCAAGTGAAACTGGCATGTGACACTGATAGGTTGGGGCAGAGGGTCTCACAGTATGATCTGCCACTTTCCTTTATATACTCTATGCTTTAACCAAATGGATTCACTGATTATCGTGAAAAAAATCCTCTACATTTTCTCATCTCTTTGCTATTGCTCAAGCTTTCTTTGTTTTTGAAACATCCTTAATTTCAGCTCCCTCTGATGAAACCCTATGGCTCCTTCAATGAAACTCCTCTTTCATGAGGCTTTCCTGACCACCACCACTCCTTCTTTGTCCTTTCATAATATTTGGTAAAAAAATTTTTAGGGGGAGAATTTTAATATTCTGCTATATATTAAAGGGATCTATGTTAATAGACGTTTTATCTTTTCTGATAGCATGTGAGTTCCTTGAAATTATGGATCTGTCCTGTTTATCTTTGTCTCATTCATAGCCACTTGCACATAGTAAGAACCAATGAATGTTGGTGAGATTGAACAAATAGTACAATTTCAGAGTAGAGGCTGTATCTAATTTAATTCTGTCTGATTTAACATTCATGACTTAATGTTAAATAACTCATTGCTCCAAGAGTTGTTTGACTATTTGTGGTGTTTTTCTTTTTTAGGGGAGGATCTCAAGATATTTCTATTAAGGGTCTTAAATTTATCTTCATTTATTAATTCATTAAGTTATTCAAGAAGTATTTATTGAGTGCTGGATCCTGTGCTAGGGTCTGAGGATGCAAAGATAAAAAAGTCATGGTTCCTGCCTTTGAGGATCCCCAAATAGAATTTGATTAATAAAACAGAAATGAGAACCTTCCAGAAACTGAGCCGTCTGCATCAGAAGGTGTTCACTCAGTCTTAGGCTGAGGGTCTTTCCATTTAATTCCTGGGCCAGAAGGTTTACCTCTTGAAGATACGAACTGTAAGGGAGATCCTTAGGTTTCTCTCATAATCTACAGCTCTTGCTGAGAGCATTGAGGCCACATTTGCAACATTCAGGAATGACCCCACAATTTCTGAGGCTACGGTGGTGTAAATGGAAATGCTGGGCAAAGAATCGAAAGGCCTGAGTTTGAGTTCCAGCCCCTTCCCTTACTAGATAAGATCTTTTCTACTTCTGAGCTTCAGTTTTCTCATGTGTAAAATGGGGATAATAATTAAGGAGATAATAAATATAAAAAGGCTCTTTAAATGGTGGGGTGTTATACAAATGTTAATTACCACTTGCAGGATTGCTGTGTGGATTAAATGAAAGTGTGCTTTGTAAACTGTACTTTGCAGGTATTGGGTGTCATTATTGTTATCTTCCCTCCTCTCTCTTCCCGTTGCCTCTGCCCTGATTGCTGGCTCTCATTAATTCTGCCACTTGGACTACTGTGGTGGCATCTTCAGAGAGTCCCTGTGCACGCTGGTCTGCTTTCCACCGTTGTCTGCGTGCATTTACAGTTTTCTTCACATTCATCTAGACATCTTTCATGCTGATGGTTGGAAACAGTTACCGTCCTCCACCTAGTTGTTTTTAGGTCTTCAACTGCTGTTAGGCGGAGTTGAGAAATTTTCTCTTTCACAATGACGCACAGCAAATTGTCACATGTACATTAAATTTCTACTCCAAGGAGGCCATGCCATATCAGAGCCATGTCTAATCCATGATCTGAATGTGTGTCATCAAAATATTCTGAGTATACCTGTATTGCTGAATTTTTTGTACAAATTCTTCATCTTGGAATTCAAGGACTTTTATGGTCTAATCCCAGCTGTTTTTTCATCATTTCTTGTCATTCACTGTGAACTCTGATCAAGTGGAACTTTCTATGGTTGCTTGTAGGCAGGGTTGATCTTCCAGCTGGTTCTCACTGCGTACCCCACACTAGTTGTTAAAATGTTGAAATTCTTCTCTACCAGTTGCTAAATGTCCTCTCTTCTTGCCTGAACTCCTGAGGGCTGTCCATCTGAAGCCCCAGACACTCCAGTCCCTCTCCTGGGCCATGCGATTCCCATGATTGAGTAGCAAAGGTTAATGCGTGCTTGGTGGGGGTCTCCAGGTCTTGCTTCAGCCTGGCAACCTGGCCACTCTTCTGACTAGTCAGTGCTAGGTCACATTTGGGATATCTCCCAGCCTTTAGAAACCCCACAATTTCCCACTTATTGATTTTTGTTCTTGTGACTAAGTCCTTTCGTATGGAATGTTTTCCCATCTTCTCATGTCCAAATTCTACCTATATGAAGGCCCAGCTCAGAAAGAACCTTCTCCATGAAGCTTTCACTTACCTCTCTCAATTAAAAAGGATCTGTCTCTGTTGATCTACTACAGCCCTTTATCTGCGCTTTTCTTGTAGTGTGTGTTACAGCCTATCTTGAATGATAGCTATTTAAGTATGTGCCATTTTTTCCCTGTTAGACTGTCAGCTCCTTGAGGACCAGATTTAGTGTAATACCTTTTGTTGGTGGAATCACTCACCTTCTACAGGGCATTCGAAGTCCTTCTTACTCATGCTTTGGGTCCAGGACAAGGGTGTGATGGGTTAGTAGTAGGCATGAGGACTTCTATGTGACAAATGAAGAATTTAAAGGTTCTTGTGATGCGGTGTGGTCTTTTTCGATGGTATGACATTTTTGTGCAATAAGACTTCCTGCAGTTTCACCTCTCCCTGCCTCCCATTCCCCCCACCTCCTCCAACTCTTGGAAGGCCTAGGAGTGGGCAGGTTAACTCAGCTCTGCTCTGTTCCGAGGCTTTAGGAAGAAATCATATGAGTTGGGTTGCTTTGGGGTGAAGGCAATAGGAAGTTGACTTATGCAGTTTAATTAATCATGAAATGATGATTTATTATCTCTATAAAAGGAGGCCTCAAGGCAGGAGAGGCTCCAGGGCTAATTGATTCAGCAGCTTAGTGACGTCATCAGGGATAGGTTCTTCTGTCTTTTTACCCCATGGTCCACATTACCATTGTAATCAGAGGTGGCACATCCAGGGCATGTATTTCCTTGTTCACATCCAGCGGGAGAGACTTGTTTCTCTTTCCCAGAAACTCTGAGCAAGCTTCTCTTAAATCTCATTCCCCAAAATGTTTTGGGCCTGCCTATCCCTGAACCAGTTCCTGGCCACAGGGATAGAATTACCTTAATAAGCTGAGACAGATTGTTTGAGTGGATGGGTGTTGGGGAGCTGTGGTAGATTGTATTTTCCAAAAACGGCCATTACCATATCTGCCCTCCCACATGCTCTTCTTACAATGTGACCTTCACTCTTCCCATCAAGTGATGGGATCTCTGTTTCCTTTCCTTGAATCTGGGTGGGCTTGTGGTGACTACTTTGGAAGTGACGCCTTATGATTTCTGAGACTTGATGTTAAAAGGTGACGTGGAGTCTACATGGTTCTCTTTTAGGACACTCGCTAAAGGAACCCAGCCACCATGCTGTGAGGAAGCCCAAGCTGCCTGGTGGACAGAGGAACAAAGAGCCAGCACCAAATGACAAGCCAAGTGAGTGAGCTATCTTGGAAGTAGATCCTTCAGCCTCAGTCAAGCTGCCCAGCTGGCGCTGTGTGAAAAGAGGAGAGTTGTTTTATAAGCCACTAAGTTTTGGGGTGGTTTGTTATGCAGCAGTAGACAACTGGAACAGGGGCCCACTACAGAAATGTTTTCTCAGTGCTTTCTCTGGTGTCTTACTCTTTTTGTCATTGGATTGGTTAGATATCAAGGGCAAGGCCCAAGGCGAGGGCCTTGAGGAACGATTTGAAGCTTAAAAGGAATTTTATTGTTTAGTCCAACTTATTCACTAAGTCTGGGAATTCTATATGGGATTTTGTGGTTCAAGCTTTATAACAGTGATTTTGCACATCTCTCTCAAAAAGTTGCAGTGGAAGATGGCTGTAATTTGGATGTTTGAGATCCAAGGAAATTAATCATGACTAATATGATTTTTTCACTTAAAGTGTAGCCCACCTGGAAGCAGTAGGCCTTGTTAAGGCATCATTCTCTCAGAGAGGCTTGTTACTTGTTTTACTTATTCTAGGAGCCAGGATTTTGACTGGCTGTCTGAAGGGTCCACTGAACTCAAGTCAATATTCCCCAAAGGGATTTATTTATTTATTTTAACCAAAGAAGAGAATGACTGAATTCACACTTTAGAAAAATCTATACAGTCATGCATCACTTAACGATGGGAGTGCATTCTGAGAAATGTGTCATTAGGCAATTTTGTCCTTGTGTGAACATCATAAAGTATACTTACACAAACCCAGATAGTATAGCCCACTGCACACCTAGGCTATCTGGTACTCATCTTATGGGACCACTGCCGTGCACGCGGTCCATCGTAGACTGAAATGTCATTATGTGGTGAGTTAATTGTATATCGTTTTAAAAGTGTTAACCCCATCATAAATACATAAGTAATAATACGTGGTCTGATTTTGATGGTAAGAAATTCTGCCTCTTTTAGGAATCTGACTAAACTGCTTAATTAGGTGTGGTTAAAGGAATGATTGCTGTCTTGATCCTCTACTTTGTCACCCTGCAACAGCTTATTTCTCTGAACTTTTATGCACTTGCTCTTTGCCTTGCTGCTCCCCTGTCATATGATCCAGACTGGTCACTTCCTGATAGTCAAAGCTCTTACCTTTTTTGCAGAGAAGGCTTAGAGTTTGTCTACAATTTCTTAAAGGTCAGACTTCAAGTGCTATATTCACCAACTAATTTGCAGTTGCAGATTTGAATGTTGCTGAAACATTAGAGGTTTAGCCTCTCTCTCGAAGGATATGCTGAGGTGGTCTGTTCCTGGAATTGGCTTTCCTTTCTTTGCACATCCTTTGCCCTGCAACCTGGCGACAGTTGGGCTTATGTAGATCATCCAAACCTTTGACAGGAAGAGAACAACTTCCAGTTTCCGGAGGAGATAATCTCTCCTCTCTCCTCCACTGATCAAATGTGGAGTAACTTTGGTTGCTTCCTGAATTACAAGACCAGACATCCTGTGGCTTTTCTCCCTCTTGGTTTTTATTATTTCAAGGTTTCTGTTATTCTGGCCACTGAGGTACTCAATAAGTATTCGTTGGGTGAATGAATGATTTTATATGGGTTGGAATCTTGGTGGTGATTACATTGGAGATAAAGAAGCTGAAGCCCAGAGGGGTGGCAGGAATTGGTGAGGACAGAGGCAGTCTTAGAACTAGGTCTCTTGGCTTTTCCACAAATACTTGTTCATTTTAAGACTCAGCAGAGCCCTTCCTTGCTGAAGGTGTTCCTGCTGGCCTCTCCCGCCCTCTCCCCATCCAGTAGAGCTGACCACTGTCTCTACAGTACCCTGTTCAGATGTCCTTGACAGTGTCAGGCAGTTATTTATCTACCTGTACATCTCTTCTTGTTGAGATAGAGGCCATGTCTTAGTTGTTTTCTTTTTAATCTGCAACACATAGCAATTTTGGCCTTCAGTGTGTAAATAAATGAATGTTTGAATGAAAGAGTGAGTGCATATAATGCCTGCATAGCTTAGATTTTTCTCCTGTGATAGTGAATTTCAACCTTTCTGTTCTTCCTCTCTATGATCAGACCTGTCAGATCAAGTGCCTCAATACTTTACAATATTTTCCTTAGACATATATTTGTCTATATATGTACATTTTAATTTTTTCTCTTTAAACTAATTTTTATGATTAAAAAAGAAATACAGGCTTATTATTTAAAAATTCCTAGGATGCAGAAGGGTTTAAAGTGAAAGGAAAATCTTATTCCTCTTAGATCCACTACTCTCTATAAACCGTTTCTTGAGGCGTTTTCAGTAACTATTTTGTTTGATTCACACATATGGAGTTACACTGTATATACTCATTCATCGCTTGCTTTGTTTTCACTTACTGATCTATTTTGGACCTCTTTTCATGTCAATGTATATATTTCCACCTTATTCTTCTTGATGACTACAGAGGATTCTATAATACAGGTACAATATGAAAGGGTTAGTAGTGGGCTTTTATTAAAAGACAGTTAGATGGTTTCATTTTTTTCCCTAAGAAATGTCCCAGAAATCCTGTACACACATGGGCACATCTGAGGAGAAACTCTTGGAAGTAAAATCAATGGTTTCCAGGAAACGACCATTTAAAATTTTGACAGATGTTGCAAAATTGCCCCTCAAGGGTTAATAATTTTTGGTGGAGAAAACAAGTCACTTAGGTCTGTGAATCAGCAAGTCTGCTGAGACACAAAACATCAAATGGGCACAAAGGAGTTCACTGCTGTGGTACATTCCTGTGCGGGGCATATCTGGAGCCCTTTGGGAATGTCGCTTTGGTTCTGGCCGCCCTCTCCTCATTTCCCAGCCCAGCTGGTGGAGCTCCGTTTGCTCCACTTTGAGTCTCTGGGCACCTGGTGAAATCCCCCTCTGTTGCTTAGTCACCGCTTGATCAGGAGCCAAAGCAAAGAACCCAGCCAGCCCCTTAAACAGGAATTACCTGTTTCTCAGTCAACCCCCGGCTGCCAGAAGTGCCGCAATTTCCCAGTTATTACCCAGAACGTGGCCTCTCCTGTGGTTTGGTGGGTGTTGTTTAGAGGAAGAGAGAAAAGCAAATGCTCTTCTAGAGTGAGGCAGTTTGAATTTTTAAGTGACAAACTTCAAACACAAAAGAAAGCATGTTAAAGAGGCTCACCATGTGGGGACGGGAAGATTATTGTCAGTAAATATTTATTGAGCACCAGCCTGTGCTAATTCAATGTACCAAGGCTCAAGGTGGCTGCATGTGGGATGAGAGGGAGTTGGGCATGAATAGGGCCAGGTGTCTGCCTGGGCCTCCTGTTCTGGTCCCACATATCAGGTGTAGAGAGGAAACCCTGTCTGTAGTTTGTCTCCCGACTGTATTCCGGATGGAGAAGGAGAAAGGCCTGCTGCTCTGACCCTCTCCTCCAAGCCAGGCTGGTCAGCAATGGATCTAGCTGTGGACAGGAAACTGTAGCAGTTTTGATTGTCTGAGTGGAAAAAATTACGTTTGCTTCTGCAGGATTTGGAGCCTGGAGCAGGGTAGAGGCTCAGAGCCGCTACCCAGGAAGTGACTCAGGGACATGTGATGTCTGAGTTGCTGCTTGCTGTATCTGCAGGAGAGTTTGTGGGTGGGTCTCTGGGTGGGTCCCTGAGTAGAGCCACTATGGGCTCATGGTCCCAGCCCTGGGGGGGTGGGCGGGTGGGGGTGGGAGGTATGGGGAAGTGTCTGGCTCTGTTAGGTACCACTCAATTTCCTCAGAGCTCTAATTTAGAGATATGAGCACCACCGGTTGTCATGGATATTTGAGGGCTATAAACATGCCAGGAAGCCCTGCCCCTGAAGCTGCCAGAGAGAAATGCCATTGTGGTACCTCATTTCCTCTGCTCGCCTTCATTGCCTACAATCCCAGAAAGTAGCAGCCCCCCGTGACTTCAACCGTGGGGCACAGCACCTGGGGCTGGAGTCGCTGTGGGTCACAGAGCTGGTGGTGGCAGGGTGGGGCAGACACACCTAGTTCATTTCATAGACACACCTAATTGAGTTTCTCAACTAACAAATAAGTTGTGGAATTACAGGAATCATGTGAGGCCTTAAAACTTTAGTATACCAGGAAAAAAAAATCATCACCGTTTACCATCTGGTTCCAAAATGTACCCTTTTTATCTATCTATTTATCTATCAATCAGTCATCTACCTACCTAACTTTTGAATCATTTTATAATTTATAGAAGTCAGAATAAAGAAATAGTAAAAATAACTTTATTAGAAATTATAGCAAACTCAAATTTTTATTCCATATTTTCCTAGATTTTAAGATACCCACCTACATATATTTGCTTATTTTTTTGTGTGTATTCATACATAAATACATATACATATATATATGACACACATATATATATGTGGGTCATCTTCTTTGTTCCATAATTTCAAAAGATTTTCATTTTTAGATTTATAAACATCAAATGATCAATCCAATGAATGTCTTTATTTCTAAATCATCTATTTCTTCCCAAGTGCCTTGTTACATACATCTGTCTTCAGCATTTATAAAATGTATCAAGTAAATTTTAGTGCGTAAAGATGATAAGAGATGAAAGAAGAATGTTACCTGTCATTTTAGCAAAATGGGGTGACTCAGGTTCATGCAAAATATTGCATGATGCATTTCTTCCTGTTGAATAACTAACTGGATGGGAATATCATATTTCTTTTTTGTCCTTAGAAATGTATCATTCACTTATTGATTCTTGCAAGCTTGTTTGGAGGGCCGCACAGCTACTTGTGTACCCTTTTTGAAATAACAGTCTTATCTATCAGGGAATGCCATCTTCCTCTGCTGAGCATTCAGCTTTGGGATGGACACATATGGAGGTGTGAGGAAGGCAGGCAGCACCCCACTGGACAGCCAGATCAGCAGAATCAACTCTGGTAATCAGTGAGGTGACCGTATCTCAATGAGACCATATCTCGTCTCCCATGCATTGATCCCTGAATTTGAGTAAATTCATCTGGGATATTGTCATCTAAAGACTCATGGTATGAGATTTCACTTATATGATCAGTTTCTCCAAGGTCATTAGAGGGCTTGCTGTGGGTCTCTGCATATATCTTTTGATTCATCTGATAATTGTGAAATGTGTCCTTTTGTCAATTTTCTTCTCTTTGCCATAATGTGAAGAAAATGAAAAATTCTGAATTCTCAACCACATTCAAGGAAAGTGAAAACAAACAAATAAAAACCAACATCATACATAAAGCTGCTGTCTTCAGACTTTTTAAAATAACATTTTGAAAGATGATGCAATACTTTGGGCAGGAAGGATGACTGGATGACGTCATGATGATGATTTATTTCACTCTCGCAGCATCCTCTAAGCATTCCCATCATTCTTCTGTTTTCATATCTCTTGAAATGTTTCAAGATATAGAAAAAATGTGATCACTAAGACCTCAAAATACAGCTTAGATGTCTAAAAGGGTCCAATGGACCCATATGGTAATTACAAGACAGAGTGAGTTTTATTCTATTTTTTTTGTAAAGTAGGTAAATCTTCCCTTTGTTCTTTAGAAGAACTCTAAGAAAGAATAAAAGTTATGAAATACAGGTCCTTGAAAATAGATACAACTGCTCAAAAAGGAAACTCAAAATGTATACTTCTTTTAAAGCTTAAATGAAAACTACTATTTGTCTGACATCATAATTTCCTTGTTTTTCCCTAGTATCTGGAGCCTTTGTTAGGGAAGAGATCAACCATGTATGTAGAGGTAAAATTATCCTGTTTCCAGGGTGGCAGGTATCATTAGTTCAGAGTCTGACATCAGGTCCTCTCCTTACTATCCTGGTTCTGTAAGAGCTGACATGGACCTCACCTCCTTATTTCTACTTTTCCACCTGTGGCGTCCCTGATTTCTGCATTTCTCTGTCTGTCAAATGCCTTTAGGCCTCTTTTCCTGACGTCCCAGGCTGGACTTCATGCACCACCTGACCAATTCAGTCAATGACAGTCTCGTTTCCCTTCACGCGTTGTCTTGAAGTGGTTGTCTGTCCAACAAGACCCCTACCCTACCCTTGCTGCACCCTCTCAGCTGTGGCTGGCCTACAGAGAAGATCACGTAGCCGTGAATTTCTGTTCCTTCCAACTTCAGCCTTGTATATTGCTCACCAATCCCTTTACTTGTCTTTGATTAGTAAATTTCCTCATTCCCTTCAGAGACTACTCCAGATTTGGTGATGCCTCTCATCTCTTATCCTCCCACCTCTGCAGAAGTCCTCTCCTCCCAATTCCTGCAGAAACGCAAGGCCTTCAGGGACAATTTCCCTCAATTTCTGCCACCCAGAAGCCTATTTTCCTCTACACTCATCCTTACCTCTTTTCCTCCCTCTCAGGGACCTGGGGGGTGGAGCTCCCGCTCTCTTCTCAGCCAGCACCCCTCTTGCCTTTGATCCTACCTCTTTTGTATTCTATCTGACTTTGACCATAGTCTTCTCCTCTCTCTCCTGTTTCTTGATCCCTCTTTCTAGGGGCTCCTTTATCACAGTCTATAAATACACTCAAGTCTTGTCATTATGAAAAAGAAGGCCTTTATCTCCTATGTATCAGGGAGGAGACAAAACACACCAGTTATTTAAACAGAAAGAATTTAGCAGAGGCTTGTTAACTAGGTAACTGAAAGGGTAACGTAAGACACTAGGGTATATGGGGGTAGCAATTTCAGGAAGCAGCAGTTACTCCCAGGGCTGGGGAACCAGAGAGAGTTTGGAATTACCAGAAGCTTGGAGGATGGAGCTCTCAGACAAGCCTCTGAGAAGGGACGCTTCTTGCTGGTGCAGGGGTGTCTGAGGGCTGGTTCTTTGAGGTTGGAAAAACTGCAAACTGAATTCAACTGCCTTTGGGGAATACAATCCAAGCTAGATTCCTCCCACTTGGCTTCTCAGTTTCAGAGAGACAGTCTTCCTTTGCGGGGAAGCTGCCCTGCTGGGTGAAGAAGTGAGGCTGGTGTGATGCTGGCAGGAACAGGAAGCCACAGGGAAGAGCAAGTCCCCCACCACCTCCAGTCTCTCCCTAGGTCCTGTTGGCAGAGCTAATAGGGATTCAACTGCAAAGTAGAAACATGATTTGCAGAGTCCCACCCCAGCACCACAAAGTGTGCACAGGAGAGGAGTTTGCAGCTGACAGCCACTACCTTAATAACTGGCACACCCTCCTCTCCTTTCCTTTTCCCCTCCCACACATCCATACTTGAGTAGTTTTCATGCAACATCTACTCTTCCTCAGCTCCCACTAATTCTTCAAGCTTCTGAAATTTGGCTTTGCTGTCATTATGCTACTGAAACTGCTTGGAAAAGGCCTCCTAATGATCGTATCCCACGGGCCTGTTTTGGTGCTTGTTTCACTTGACCTCCCTGAGTAAGGCCTGTGATGCTGTGGATCTGTCCTCCACTCCCTAGCTTCTGGGATCACTCACATGCCTTGCTCACTACAAAGCTCTGTGCCCGTTTCTTCTGCTTCTCCTTCTGGGGTCCCTTCCTTTGCTTTCCCCTCAAATGCCAGTGTTCTCCAGGCTTCTGTCCTCAGGCCCCCTTTCTTCTTATGGTGCATTTCCCCCCTAGGGATCTCACTCAGTTTCATGGTTTAAACTAATCCCTATATACAAGTCGACCTCCAAATCTTCATCTCTATACTCCATTCTCCAGCAGCCTGCTGGCCAGAAGGTCCAACAGCCAATTTAATATGTCCAAAGGTGAACTCACCATCCTCTCCTTCAAATATGCTTCTCCTCCTGTTTTCTCTGTCTCTTTGAAGATTTTATTAGGTCAATGAGAAAAATGTCCATATTAAAGTTCATTCTCTGTTCTAGGGTAAATTATTAGTTTGGTATTTTAAAGATTTGAACATGGAGAAATAAATGAAAAGCTTCAACAAAATTTTATGATTTCATGGGAATACATATTTTATAAACATTGCCAGGAGAGCATACAATAGACTGTCACCAAATAATGCATTCATAAATTAAGAGTACATCAGTGATTTTTTAAAGCACAAGATGGAGCTATGTCTATTTTTCTTTTGAACTTTTAAACATCTGCCTTCCTGAATTTTAGTTTTCATGTCATTCCACATCCAGTCTTTCACTTCTTGGCTTTCGTGAAGCCTAAGATGATATTGTTTTCCCTCGAGGTTTCCATCGCTTCCACAGCATCAGAAAATTCTTCCTTATTCCATATTGTGTAGTACTTTCTTTATTGTGAGAGATGAATCTGTTATGATTGGAAGAGAAAGGAAGGTTAAGACCTTCTCACATCCCGGACTTTAGCAGACTGTGCCCCCACAGAATTCCCACAGCTATAGGATGGGTGGTCCTCTGAGCATGTGGTTTCTAAACCACTTCAGCCCTGCCCTTTCCCCCACCCCCAACTCCCACTCTAATGATATGAGCTGCTATTTATTCAGCACTTGTTGTATGCCAGGAAAATCCTCACCCTGGATCAATATTTTATACCCTCACAATAAATCTACAAGGTATTATAAGCCCCTTGAGCAAGATGAAGAAACTAAGGCTCAAAGAGTTTTAAAAAAAATCTCACAAAGCCAAAAAGGGGCCGAGGTGGAGTTGGCTCCAAAGCCTTCCCATGCTGCCGTGCTGCCTCCTGCCACAGCCCGTGGGTGCTCTGGTGTGATATGTGTGATCTGCTTCAGGAATGCTCACGTGTACTCTCCATCAGGCCAAGGATGCTGCTAGCATATTCTAACGTGTCATGTCTGGCCCCCTCTCTCTGTCTTCACCCCAATGCTCCCAGCAGTCTCCCATCCTCTGTCTTAGGGATGTTCATGCAGCTCTACCTTGTCACCCAGCCCTGTGCTTCTTTCCCTCCTTACAGCTCTGTTTGGTTTATTTCTGATGAGTGTATGCTTGTCCCTCATGCATTCCAACTGTAAGTCTTATCTCACCGAGTCTTGGGAATTCAGCATATATTTATTGAGCGCTGCTGTCCATTGTGCTGGGTGCTAGGGATAAGGCATCATACTTCCTCCTCTGAGTCACGATATCAGGTCCACTCTGTTCTTTGCTGTATCCGCAGATGGGGTCCTAAGTATCGCACCTGGCCCTTTTGGGATTATTTTCTTTTGCAACTTACTGGGTACCTCTCACCTGTGGTGTCACGGTTGACGTGCTTTAGAATAACTGCTCTCACAGTTTTGCGTAATAGGGAGTTTTAAAGATTTTGGATGAAATGACAAATGTTAAATGCTATTCATGTTCCTGCATAAATTGAATATGTTTTAATTCACAGACTCAGCTATAAATACGTGAGCAACATCACTGTTTAAGGCTAGCTTTGTGAATTCACTAGCACACAGCAAGTACCTTCAGCCAAAGCCATTTATTTATGCTACAGTAAACTGGTGTTAGGAGTCATATCTGTCTTCAAGGTAGGTTAAGTTAGGTCATACTTGGAGTACATTTCTAAAAGTTAATTTCCCTTTATTACTTATTTTGTCAGCACGTACTTGTGGAGAGCCTACCTGAGCAAGACCCTCTTCTAGGGAGTGAGGATTCGGCAGGGAACAAAAAGTCCCTCTCTCACGGAGAGCACATCATACACAGGTACTGGTGCACGTGGTGCAAGAATGCAGAAACTGCAGATTGGCAACAAAATAAGGAAAAAGAAAACACACACAATTCTATCATTAATTTTTCAGTGTATGTTCTTCCTGACTTGTGTTCTATGCATGTATAAACATTCCTATTTTACCCAAAAGTGGGATAGTATTTGATTATTTTAATGTAAGTGTACATTGCAAATAACTTTTCATGTCATTAGATAATCTTCTACATCATTGTTTTTAATGGCTGCATAATATAATTGGAATCCATTTGATAAGAGTTTATAGTTGGCAAAGAGGATGTAGTATCTAACTGTGAAAGTGCCAACACTAAAGTGTATTCATCTGTTTAGGGTGGTGGTTCTCAAACTTTAGTGTCCAAAAGACTTACCTTGGGAGCTTGTTAAAGATTCAGATGCTTGGTTGGGGCCAGCCCAGTGGTGCAGCAGTTAAGTTCGCACGTTCCACTTTGGTGGCCCCGGCTTCGCTGGTTCAGATCCCGAGTGTGGACATGGCACCTCTTGGCAAGCCATGCTGTGGTAGGCGTCCCGCATATAAAGTAGAGGAAGATGGGCATGGATGTTAGCTCAGGGCCAGTCTTCCTCAGCAAAAAGAGGAGGATTGGTGGCAGATGTTAGCTCAGGGCTAATGTTCCTCACACACACACACACAAAAGATTCAGATGCTTGGGCCCCATCCTGGGAGATTCTAATTCAGGAGGTCTCGAATCTGCATTTTAATCAGTCTCACTCACCAACCAGGGAATTATGAGGTAGGTGGTCCCAGAGCCCACCATGAGAATCTTTGATTTGACTTATAGGAATAACGTATACAGTCATGACTCCCATCTCCATTTCATGGGGGTCTCGGCAGTTAGATTTACCTCTTGGTAAAGTGATTTAAGCTACACAAGATATTTAAGAGAATGAATCAGAGTGTTGAATTAGAGTTGGTGAGGAAAATACCACACCAAGTCTAAAGGACAGGGGCAGGTTTGAAACTAGGACATCAAACTGAAGGTCGGCAGACAGGAGGCCCTGGAACAGAATGGAAGCAGTGAAGATGATCCTAGCGATGTCTATCAGTTAATGTCAGTGGTGCTATTCTGTGCTGTCTTGGTGCTGTTGGAGGCTTGGTCAATGGGCTGGTCAGCTTGACTTAAAGCTGTAGAGTCAAGGACGATGAGAGGTTACAAAAGCCCATGACATATATTGCCCATAAGTCAGCCAGAGAGTGTCTGACTCTGAAGACTGAATGAAATTAACTTGAACCATCCCCACAGTAAATCTGGGCCAGTAGAAATCCCAAGCCTTCTGGGTGATCTCGGCACATCCCTGAGGCTCAGATTCTTGTGGCTGCCTCCTACCTGTATTTGCTTTCTGCTTCCTTGTTGCCAATAATTCAGCCTCTCTTCTTCTTAGAGTTGCACCAAAAAACCACTCACACAAGCATCTGTGAGTTTTTAAATTTTTTTTATTTGTTACTTTTTTCTTTTTTTTTGAGGAAGATCTGCCCTCAGCTAACATCTGCTGCCAATCCTCCTCTTTTTGTTGAGGAAGACCAGCCCTGAGCTAACATCCGTGCCCATCTTCCTCTACTTTACGTGTGGGACGCCTACCAGAGCACAGCTTGCCAAGTGGTGCCATGTCTGCACCCGGGATCCGAACCCGTGAACCCCGGACCGCCAAAGTGGAACGTGCGGACTTAACCGCTGCGCCACCAGGCTGGACCCCGTGAGTTTTTTTAGCTTTGGTTTCATCACACCTTACACAGCCTTCCACCATCTGTGGACTTCTCCCCATTCTTCTCTCTCTGCCCTCTTGGAACAACCCAGATTCTTCTTTTCATGTCTAGCAGTTTATCAGTCATCTTTTATCACTTGTATCTGCCCTCCATGTCTTGCCTTCCATCCTGAACTCATGTCAAGACATTTTTTTCCTGCAGGTCCACTCCAAAGAGGTATTTTGTTATTATAATAAAATTTCCTCCTTTTGATGCACATGCCTGAGCCAGTGCAGGTAGCAGAGAGTGGGGTGGGAGGAGTACTCATTTCCAGCTGTGAGGTTACCACTCAGCAAGCTGTAGGACAGGAGCTGGCAGCCAGTCCTCAGTCTACAGCCGTGGCCATTAGAAATGAATAACCATCTGTTAGCACTGTACAACTCCACTGATGGGAGATCAAGTTATTTTTATAGTTTTTATCTTGGTCTTTCCTTCAATACAGGAGTTTTTTCATTTTTCAGCAGGTGGCTGACAGGGCAACTCCTCTGGCAGTGATTTTTGAAACACTTGCCCTCCGGAGCTGGCTATGATCATGAATGGAATCATAGATGATGAAATGAATGCATAGACTGGAGTGTACACCACCCTTCCTGTCCAGGAGATTTTGTAGATGAAAGCCACATTCAGAGACAGATTTATTCACGTTACAAGATTTCTAAAATTCAGATGTGTCTTAAAATTGAAATACACATTTAACATAGTGCTTCCCTGCCCCCAAACAAATCGGATGCTTTTTAATCAATGGTGCCTCTTACAACCTATAGTATCTTAGAATAAAGGAAATGCAGTAAGAACGTCTATCCATGAAGGATCTAGGTTTAAGAACTGTGCAGCACTCACTGCCCTACAACCTCAGTTGGAGAGGAACGTGAGAAGGGGAGGATTTCTTGTCCATTTGAAATTCCAACAAGGAACACGAGATGTCACCTCTCACTGTCAGCCCAGGCTCAGGGCAGTGAAGTGAGGACCTTTCCCCATTCCCTGTTGCCTAGCGATGGACCTACTCAGGACATGGCAGGACATCACCACAAGGTGGAGCACAAGCCCCAGGCATGAAGTTCTGAGGCCGGCACACTGTCCAGACCCACTCCTTTCTGGAGAGCTCTTAAGGAGGCGCTGACTGGCTGTACTGTGGCTGAGTCAGGTGAAGACACTCTATGGAGCAGATGGAGGAGGGTTTGGGCAGCTCGAGTAGGGACAGAAGTTGAGGTTCATTCATTAGAGTGACAATATCTATTGAAAGAGTGCTTGTAATTGACTCGATGTGGGGGATATGGGTACAGAATAAGATAGACGCTGTCCTCACCCCCATAGAGATTGTGGTCTAGTGGAGCTGGTGTAACTAGTGTGGCTCAGAGGAAGAAGAAGGGTCATCTGGAGTTGTTATGGGCTTAATTCGTATGTTGAAGCCCTGGGCCCCGGTACCTCAGAACGTGGCTATATTTGGAGATGAGGCCTTTAAAGAGTTGTGATATTGTGATTTATAATAAGAAATATATTTTTGGTCTTCGTCCCCATTTCTGGCACAGAGCTCCTGAAATAGTTGGAATTTCCTAAGTGATGAGAGTCATAAAGGTATCTTTTGTTAGGCTAATGAGGTGACTTTTGGAACGCACCTAAGGTTGGGGGCTGGTTGCCAGGAGAACTAACCATGTGATTAGAGGGTTGGAATCCATCCCCCCCACCTTGCACACCCTCCTCACCCCTGCCTGACCTCTGGGGAGAGGAGGGGGGCTGGAGGTTGAATCAGTTGCCAATGGTCAATGATTTCATCAATCATGTCTATGTAATGAAGCCTCCATAAAAACCCACAAGAGTGGGGTTCGAAGAGCTTCTGGGTTGGTGAACACATGGAAATTCTGGGAGAGTGGTGCACCAGGGGAGGGCATGGAAGCTCCGTGTCCTTTCCCCATACCTTGCCCTATGCAACTCTTCCATCTGCCTGTTCCTGAGTTAAATGGATAATCTAGAGAGTAAACAGGTTTCCTGAGTTCTGTGAGCCACTCTAGAAAATTAATTGAACCTAAGGAGGGGTTTATGGGAACCTCAAATTTGTAGCTGGTCGATCAGAAGCACAGGGAACAACCTGGACTTGCGAATGGCATCTGAAGTTGGGGTAGGGAGGCAGTCTTGTAGGACTGAGCCCTTAACCTACGGGATCTGATGCTATGTCCGGGTAGGTAATGTCAGAATTGAGTTGAATTGAGGACACCCTGCTGGTGTCACAGAGAATTGCATGTTGTGGGGAAAAAGGCCCACACAGTTGGTGACCAGAAGTGTCAGAAGTGAAGTGTTCTGTGTAACAGTACAGGAGAGAAACACATGAGGAGGAAAAACTGGGTGGTCTTTTCAATACAAGAGATAATTAAGTTAAAATGGGGTCATTAGAATGGGCTCTAATCCACTATGACTGGTGTTGTTATAAGAAGAGGACATCAGGTCCCAGAAAACCCAGAGGGATGATCATGTGAGGTCACTGTGAGAAGATGGCCATCTGCAAGCCAAGCAGAGAGGCCTCAGAATGAAACCAAATCTGCCTACACCTTGATCGTGGACTTCTAGCTTCCTGAATTATGAGAAAATAAATTTCTGTTTAAGCCCCTCAGTCTGTGGTATTTTGTTATGACAGCCCTAGCAAGAGAATACAGCAATCAACAGACCTGGCTTCAAATCCTGGATCAATTACTTATTATAAGCATGTCCCTGGATGAGTTTCTTCTTTTCTCATTTTTTCTCATCTGTAAAAGGAGGTGACACCTGCCTCAGAGTTGTTGAGCTGATTAAAGGAGACAACTTACGGGAAGGTGGGGCCTGGCGCATTCTAAGCACTCAGTAATTCACAGCAGTAAGAATTGTGTCTGATGTTTCCATTGCTCTTCGAATAGATTGTCTGTAGGATATCTCCAGCCCTTTATCAGAGAGCGTTATCTTGACTTGCCTGCTATTCACCACTTACACAGTCTAGCTAAGAAAAGTGGTGTTTAGGGATGATTATCTTAAAGACAAGCTATTGCTCTACCCGCTGGTTTCTCAGGTCTGTCCTGGAATAGGGCCAGACCCCTGGGAGGGGATTATAGGATGACCTTCCTGAGTTGAGATTTAATGTCATGCTCTCAGCTTCTATAGAGCATTATTGCAATGGCAGGTGTAGAATAGATTCTTACTCTTGGGTTTGGTTCAATGCAGTTTGATCTCTTTTATGGCACATGCAACTTAGAGGGACTTCAGAAAGTCTGGGACTGCGTCCCCACCTCAGGTGGTGGCAGGAGAGGCCTGGGTGGGTAGGGAATGAAGCTCCACCCAGTGGTTGCTGGTCTCAAAGTGACTCCGAGTTCTTTCCCCTCAGGATTCGGTGCTCGCTCCTCTGTCTCTTGGCAGATGGCTTATTTCTTATACCACAGAGAAAACAGAGCTGGTAGGTGTGGGCTCCTTCAGCTCTTCCCTGCCTCTTCCTTTCTAATTCGTGTGCTTAATTTCTTTCTTTTCCGATCTCCCTGCACTGGTGCAAACCCCTTCTTCTTATGTCACTTCCTCAGACAGGCTTTCTTTTAGGCTCTTTCCCACCTGAATTTTGTTCTCCTTGTTTTTCTATTTTATGGCATCTGCTCTTTTCTTGCCTAGCTCTTCTTATACTTTATAATTTTAATGGTAATCCTCACCCAGCTTTAAGTGCAAAGCTGTCTCTTCCATTATCATGTAGCCTGGGTCTTGCCATTGCCTATCACCTAGTGGGTGCCTGTAAATACCTGTGGGATGAAGGGACTCTCCTGGCTTTACTGACGTGCTGTTTCACTGTTAAGAATGATGCCAGCTGTTGATTTTAGATAAGTTTTTCCTTTCACTGTTTTAAATTAAATAACATGGATTAAAGAAACATCTATATCTCTGTAGAGATGATCACACAGGCTTTGTCCTCTGCCAAGTTCTAGGATGAGCTATGTGAATGGGTTTCCCTCAGGGCACCGTGGCCTTCCAGAAGGGAGCTGTACACAATAGCGTGCAGCATTCTTTCAGGGCATCCACGTGAAAAGGAAACTGCTCTTGGCTAGTATTCTGTTTAGGGGTTTTCATCTGTATTTACAAATAGGATTGGTTGGTAGTTTGGGGGGACTTTGGGATTTTGATATCAATCTTATGCTATCTTTGAAAAAAAACAATAAAGCTTTCTTTATATTTTTATTCTCTGATATGGTTTAAATAGTGTAGGAATTATTTGTTCCATGATTGTTTGAAAATATTCACCTGTGAAACCATCTTGCTTATAGCTTTTGAGAGGGTAGTTATTTGACAATCTTCTCAATTTTTTCTATGGTTCTGGTTATACCTTTTTTGGAATTTTTTCCTAGAAAAATTATCCATCTTTCCCAGACTGTCTTTCTTTTCCATTTTCTTTCTTTCTTCTTCTTCTTTTTTTTTTTTTTTGGTCTTTCTAAGAATAAAGTTGTTACAACTCTGTTCTTCTGTATCTGTAGCTAAATATTTTTGGTTTCAGCATATGTATGTTGTCTTTTTTCTTTCTTATTTTAATGATTTTCCAAATATCTTGGGTTCTTTCATTTATTAATCAGTTACATAGTTATTCTGTTTTCTAGGCATGAAATTTCTACTTATATCTTTATATTTTCCCTTTTCTTAAGTCTGTTTTGTGTCTTAATTTTCTGTTATTGAATTGAATACTTGTTTATCCCTTTTTTATTGTTTATTATTAAGCAAATAAAGTGCTTAAGGCTGGAGCTCCAGATTTTAATATTTGATGACTTTTTATTTTATTT